TCCACATAACCGAGAGAAAATGAATAAATAGTGCTCCAAACTTATTTATAAAATTTCCAGTCAAGGGTTAAGTGTCGTATATTCAATCTAGTAGGTTTGTCTGCCATTAGATACTGCTGCACTTCCTTGTGAATCTAGAGCTGTTTTCAGAGTTGAATTGCAAAAATGATGTCGTCAAAAGTACAAGACATTAGTTTCACTGTAATGTTTTCGACTATCAAAAGAAAAGTTGGAAGTTTATGAATATGATGTGATGCTTAACGATATAGAAAGCGCACAATACAAAGAAGTGCACTAGAAGAACCTTTGTTCGATATGAAATGATCAAAAACAATCATGAATATAATTAAATGTATGAACAAGAAAATCGATAACGCAGGAAGAAGAAATAAAATTATTTGAAATAGAATCTCGCACTGTTTGTTCAATTCCCATGTAGTATTGAATCAAAACTTGCAAACACTTTCATCTTTAACTGATTTTCATTTAGTTCATCTTATATGAACTATGTTGACTGATGCACTTGTGTGCTTCATCAATAATAACTATATTCTATTTTTCTTTGTTAGTTTCATTACATTTTATTAATTACAGTGTTTAACCTAATTTTTCTATAGTTTTAATTATATCACTTAAGTATTCTGCGATGTTGGTTTAATATATAAATTTAAGGCTAACCTGCATTTCCTAAGCTGGACGAACCTTGTGAAATATTTCTGGGATTATGACCGAAAACGTCTTAAACAATACAGGTATCGAAGTGATGATTAATCACAGTCAGCCCACTATAGATTTTAGTTTTCTGGTGAACTGATTTATAATTATTTCTAATCAGTTTGCTAAGCAGAATCGGCTTCATTAATTTATACGTGATTTTAAATTATTTGTTCTAATTTATACAATTAACTTACTTTTGATCAGAAGTTTATCATTTATTAGAAGAAATCTCCGAAAAAGAATGGTGTCAACATTACAACTCATGTTTAGGATTAGAACTTTTGGAATATAATTGTTTAATCCTGGAATTACCGGTTTTTCTTTTTACAGATACCATTAATTACTGGATCCATATATTGATCAATTTTAAAATCTAACCACAAAATTGAGTGAAATCACTCATTTATATGTAAAATAGATAAGTATCACCAACAGTAATTAGTGATATTAGCTGCAATATTGACGATTATTTTGTTTAATATTTTCTACGACAAACGTTACTAAGAACCCTTTAATCAACAAAATCGTGGATCTACTAGTAATTTCGTGCATGAATAGCTTTGAAAAATACCTATAAAATCATGCCCAAAAATTAAATATCTGACGCCTAATTTAACACTTCCAGTCTTTTTTAACTTGTCCCTGAAATATATATTTACAGTACATAAATTATGGTAGTTAACGTTGTCTATAGGTTGTTCATTTTAGAGTGATATAGTAACAGCTTACATATACTACTACTAACTGGAAAGATATTTTAATTTAAGTATAAATGCGAAAAATACGATATCTGAGCATAAATTATTTTTAGTTGGGAAAACACCCTAGTGTTTGATTTTCACTGCTTCTACGTGTGCAGTTCAACATGTCTAATAAAGTAATACGTTATACTTACACATAATATAAAATAAAATTCATTACTCAAGGCACGGACAATGTTGCTGGTGGTATACTAACGGGCTATTCATGCTTAGCTGAAGAGATGATAAACACTGCGTGCACGAAAGGGATCCACCGAAGTGGATAATATTCCTCGGAAGCAGTTTATAGGAAATTTGATGTTCCAGAATATAATCACGAGGACGAACCTACTCGTACTATAAATAAATCAAACATTTATAACACATCAAGATGAAATGAAAATTCTCAGCTCTTCTCGGGATCGTTTTTGTGTTGAAAGTCATATGCCATCAGTATATGATACCGAAAAATGAAACATATCCGAGTAGCTGATATCCCAAAGGGAATAATTTATTTTTCCTTTGTTAAGTGGAGCGTTGTCTCAAATATTCATTTCCTGTTCGTTGTCCATAAGTTCGGCAAGTCACGTGATAGTGGTATGACCAACATAAAATAAATACACTATTTAACGTGATAACGTGAACAAGAAAGAAAATTGTCGACGGAAAAAAGTTACTTAGATCGTTGCTTTTCCTGGTGCAGTAATTTTATACACGTAAATGTACAATACTGCAACTCATGAGATTCAAATAAGCAAAATTAATATGCCTTATGCTTTTTTTCTCTTAACTCGGAACTTTTACAATTGTGTTCAAAGTGAAAAAAAAAAGAAGCAGTATGTTTGGTTTCGTGTTCCGTTGTTCAAAACGAAATAAAAGCGATAGGTTCGGTTCCGTTGTTCAAAACGAAATTTTAAAAAAGTGACATGTTTGGTTCCGTTGTTCAAGACGAAATTTTAAAAAAGCGACATGTTTGGTTCCGTTGTTCAAGACGAAATTTTAAAAAAGCGACATGTTTGGTTCCGTTGTTCAAGACGAAATTTTAAACAAGCGACATGTTTGGTTCCGTTGTTCAAGACGAAATTTTAAACAAGCGACATGTTTGGTTCCGTTGTTCAAGACGAAATTTTAAACAAGCGACACATTTGGTTCCGTTGTTCAAAACGAAATAAAAGTGATATGTTCCGTTCCGTTGTTCACAACGAAAAAAAGCGGTATGTTCAGTTACGAGTTCTGGTGTACTTTATATTTGTTTTGTCCCAGAAATCAGTCACATAGAAGTAATTAAAATAAATAAAATATGTAAATGTATTTAATCACAACCTTTTCACGGGCACTAAGGAGACACGATAAAAATAAAGAAAACAAAACAGTAGTGAAAATGGAAAACATAACATGTAATAATTTAGGTAGTAGCAAACACAAAATAAATTACACCTCTCCATTTTCTTGTAACTTCGCGTAAGTTACTATTTACTATACAGATTTAGTACAACGTTAAAAAGATTTTCCGCAGTTTTTACTTTTCACATAAAAGGAAATTTATGTTTGCAAACTTAAAATATAGTAATATAACCTTCCTTATATTAGATAATATAACCTACTGAGTTAACATTAGCCAATTAAACAAGTTGCTTATATCAGATATTAGAAATTAGCGTCATCAACCGTGTCAAAATTATACAAGTTATTTACATTTATGTAATGTTACAAATTCGCGTTATACATTTCCCCAATAATTGTTATTTGTACTTCTTAAGCAGATACTGTCATTTTGTTTCTATTTAACTTTCTTTCTACATCTTATACGAGAAAAAAAAACGAACACTGACATAATATTAGACTGAATATCTGTATAAAAAATATAAACAGAAAATTTTATCCACTAATTTTAGAGTTAGTACCTGAAATTTTCGTTCGTTCTTTAGTTTTGTTACTGATGTTAATTATACTGTATCTCACAAAACTAACACGATGTGGAACTGAAAATCTGTATAAACAAGTATAAACTGAAAATGACAAAATTTTATTCGCCGATTTTCGTGACGGTATACACAATTTTTGTGCTCTTTAGTGATTTCATGAAAATCTATTAATCATAATCTTTATCATACTCTTGGAAAACAGCACAGCAAATTATAATGTTAAACGGGCTTAAAGCATTTTAGACTACTTCGTATTAAAATATATCAAACTATGAGGCAGGGTTTTGTTGGGTTGTCATGGTTACAACGAATTAACTATTAACGAATGTTTTTTTTTTTAAACAAATTCAGACTTTTTTGTTTGAAGTTAAACACAAAGCTACACAATGGACTATCTGTGCTCTGCCCATCATGGCTATCGAAACCAGGTTTCTAGCGTTGTTACAGTATTTGATAAAATAACAAGACTGCTTTTTACTTTGGTTATTTCTTATCTCGAATCCCATCATAGTATAACTATTTTATATATGTGTATACCTTCACTGGTATGAGATTAACACCATATTTTGATAAATATATTATAGATAACACCATGACCAGTGCTAAAAATCAGTTCGACTAGAGCTTATTACGCCTAAAGCTTTTAATCGGTTTCAGTTAATTAATTATCAAATAATAATCTATTAGTTGTTAACTAATAATGAACAACAACAAAAAAAAACTTTCCAAATTTACTGAAATATGCCCCAGTTTAAAAATGTCAAAAAACAATACTGGTCAGATTTAGAGAAATTTGGAATCTGCTTCAGAACAAGTCAGAGCAATGGTGAACCTAGAACAAAATCTAGGTCTTTCCTTCACGTAATGTCAGTACAACAAGTCTAACACCATGTTTTAAATATGGTAATGAAATACGGCATTAACAGTTGGAAAGTATGTGATGGTATATTTCTTAAACCTGTGTTTTAAACGAATGTTATCAAATCTTGTCCAAATGGCTATCTGTGTTCTGCCCACCACGGGTATCGAAACCCGGATTCTAGCAGTATAAGTCCGCAGACATTCCACTGTGCCACTGAAGGGCTTCACCAGACGTAATGGTCTGAAGTGCCTATTCGGTGCTAAACGTCAATTTCAAGGTGTTTTTATAGAATCAATTTCAAAAAATTAACATGAGAAATATAACTAGTGTGTGATGTAAATAGTATTCATCCTAAACAAACTGTCATCAATTAATAATAAATTAGCATTTCTTTAAGGATTTTTCGCACTGTATAAAAGTCTCCCTTCCTTACAAACAGTTTAGTTTTCACATACACTAACAAACAAATACAAATTAATATTGTAATTATAGACCAGTGGTTTTCCTTCCACAGACCGACAAAATCTTGGTAATAAAGCTTATGGATCGATACGAGTATGTTGGCTTATCGTTTTGTTCCCTAATTTAATTAACTTCATAAAGCTATATAAAGTAACAAGATTCACTAAATCCACAATGAACTGTGAATAAAAAAATACTTTTATATATTCCTAACGCGTACATATTATAAAATGTTCGAAAATAGAATCTTTCACGACTTTTCACTGAAGCTAACGGGTAAACACTATTACCTACCTGGTCAACAGACACGAAGTTCGCAGGATTTTGATTGGAATCCTGGAGGTTTAGAGTCTGAAGATCAAAATTGTTTGATGCCTACAGAATAACAAAGAATAACAAACAATATTTTATATCTTTTTCGACTAAATAGAGTATAAACACGAATAGTCATAACTACATGACTGATCTTAGTTTTAAACAAAAATTTAAAATTTGTATGTTGAAAAATGGATAGCTTCCTGAAAGTGTAAACAAAAATAGGATTTCTTCGCTCTTCACTTTATAGGTTTACAATGTTAATTTCAAACATATGCTACTTCCTTTTTCTAAATTAGGAATGGCTAGGTCTGAACCCTGAAGTCTGATCTCCTGGCCGTTTGGCCTAGATATCATTTAAGGAACCATTCAGACTGAAAATACCAAATATCAAGTAATTGTAAATGTTATCTGTAAAACAGTAATCGTTAGCGTAATAATCCCTAACTTGTACTGGGCCACATTTAACCTTAATTTACGTATTTGGTCTATAAAGGAATTTTAGTGTAGTGTTTTACTGCGTCTGTTTTGTGGTTTTAGCAAAATTGCATTATTTAATAACCCGTGAAGTGATGCAACATTTCAATCTTTCAAGTGACAGTTTTGGTAACAAAACTTTATACATATATATTAAGTGTACATAATATGAGATTAGGCTTAGCGACAAGTGACCAGAGCTACTAAATTTTCCTTTTAGGTACTCACAAACAGCGGGAAAGCAAAGGCTCCTACATTTATCTGATACTAAGAACTGAGTACGGCCATGACGATCGCCATGGTGTATAGGAAAAATTACAGGTTTGTACGTAAGTTTATAAAAGAAATAAAAAATACATATATAAAATGTTTTAACTGACACAAAATAAGACACATAACTATCTTTCAAGAATGTTTTGGTTGTTGTTTTTATAGTGTCATTTGTTTCAGAATATTTTATAAGCGTTCGAAATACTCAAGAAACTTTGGCCATAACATAACAGTTGGGATTTTTGCGGTTTTGTCGAGAGAGAAAAACTTCTCGTAATAACGATAGTTTTAAAGCTTATTCGAGAATAACGTTTTTAAAAAAAATGTTTAAAAAGTGAGTAGCGAACTAAGCTAAATTAGTTCACATGAAAAACCTTGTAATACAGGCGCTAGCTCGAGCTCTATGTCACGGCGACAGACTGTTGATTGTGTGTTTACACAACCCAGACTAACATCTGTTTCTCTCCAGCCTGGGCCACCTGCTACAACGGAATGCTTTTCTACCCCTATACTCTTGCCCCAGGCTTCAACAGCTCTCCTGTATATAAGAAAGGTTTCTACCCAAACACACGGTTATAAAAGAATTTAATGATATTTTTCCCCACATGTTGAATGAGAATGACTGTAAACTTTCAAAATTCGCGGTAAAAATGTAACGAATTTCTGAATATTTAATACGAAGAATCTCATGAATGAGAGTGATAGAAATCAACTACAACTTGTGACTGAACGTAATACCTATTCGCAGCCCCAAACACTCCTCTAAAAAACTCTGTACAGCATTCGTTATGCCAAACATATTGTTAGATATACACGACTGTAAGTTTAATGCGAGTCATGATTTAGATAGTTTTACTTGAGAGTATTAAATTTAGCTATTTCAGAAGCGACAGTTTATCATATGTTGTGAAGTTCAACAGTTACGAATTAGTGATTTTTATGTTATTGCGTCATATTGCTAGATCCTTCTAAGTTTTCTCGTGGTTTTAATTGAGTATTGATGTATTATATATACCTTGTAGTGTGTGTGGAACGTTCTAGACCATTGTATAAATATGCGTCGAAAATTTAGTTTAAAAGCTAGATCTATATTGCATGATTGCGAGTTTAGTCATAAAGAGCGTATAGTGGCGATTTTTAAAGTAAAATTATCACAGATTGTATTGTAATAACAGAGTCTGAAGAATGATTTTTCTTGTCAAATTGCGTTCTAAAGTAACTGAACCACCATGTGTGGACTTTGACGAAAAAGACACAATTACTTAAAGCTCTGGATACAACTGTCAAAAACAACAGTGTAACAAACATTTGTATACATGTTTGACTTATTTTAACATATTATTTTTAAATAAGTTGACTCTGTGCTGTTTATTGTTGACATTTATAGCTAACAAGTCACAAACACCTACTATAAAGAATCCAGCCGATACATACATAACTGGACATTGGCGAACCAACCAGGATCTACAGGGGCAAATGGTGGTAGAAGTGTATGTAAACAATCGGCAAATAAGCCTATACATGTACAGCTGTAGTGGTGGCGAAATTATTGGAGAGGTTACAACCACAATATAAAACCATGTCAATTAACTTTGATAAGTGGATAGATATGGGCGAGCGACTAGGTCTCAGAGATGGTGATCTATGATTTTGTTAACAAACAACAAGAATTAGAGATAGAAGAGTGTCAACAGAAAAGAGAGGAAGAAAGAGAAAGGCAGAGAATGGAGGAAGAATGACTGAAAGGAGAACATAAGCGTGAAATACAAACTTAAACAGAAGAAAAGGGGGGAAGAGAGAATAAGAGCACAAATTGAGAAACAAGAAAAGGAGAGTGAGGAGAGACTGGAAATAGAGATAATAAGAGTGCCAATTGAGATCAGAACGGTAGAGGACCCAAGAATGGCAATGGGGTCAGGGCCAGTTGACCCAAGCTTCCCAAATTTCATGAACAGAAAGATGACATGGATACTTTCCAGGAGAGGTATGAAAGATTTACCCAAAGCCAGAACTGAGACAAAGGTGGCTGAGCAGTCAGTCCCGGCCTCCTTCTCACAGGAAAAGGCCTGCAAGTCTATGCAGGCATGACGTCAGAGGATGCCACAGATGATGACAAGTTAAAAGTGACCTTACTGAAATGCTATGAACTTACCAAATAAGGTTTTTGCCAGAAGTTCAGAGAAGTCAAACCTGACACTGGAAAAACTGTATTTCAGTTTGTGGCACGTCTATGATGATACTTCACAATGTGGGATGGCATGGCCAAGTGTGAAGATAGTTTAGAAGGACTGGCAGATCTACTAATATGTGAACAGTTCATGATCAAGTTTTCCACTGACATGTCACTGTTCCTAAGAGAGAGAGCACCGAAAGACGTGGACGAGATTATCAAGTTGGCAGAACAGTATATGGAAGCCCATGAAGGGAGTATAACTGCCAAGTGCAAGAATAACCAGCCAAAGTCGAAACCAGTGGTGGCTGATCAGAAGAAGTGCGTCACCAATGGTGACAAGAAGACAACAGACAAAAAGAAGAGATGTTATTCTTGTTATAAGATGGGACACATGGCGACTGAGTGCAAATCTGTCACCAACAATCAACACCAAAAATCTCAACAAAAAGCAGCTAGAGCTACTTACAAAGATGGTGCTGGCAAGAAACAAGAAAAGAATGACAGTGTCACCATGCATGCTGCTGCCAGAAGAAACAGAATGAAGACAATTCCACCACAAGAAGGAAGTACTATAACCATGATTAAACAATGCGTGATTGATGGTCAGCTCAAGATAGCAAATGGGTCAACAGTGCCAGTAGTGATCAGTGCACGTGACAAACACCGAGAGGTACCAACAAAACACAACATGCTAGTAGGTGAATGCTTTGTCGGGGACAAGAAAGTGTAGGTTCTACGAGACATTGAGTGCAGCAGTGAGAACCAGTCTAGTATTTGATAACCAGATGATGGGCAAGGTACATGTGCGTGTGCTGATTGATGGGACAGTAAGAAAGTTTCCCATAAAAAGAATAAAGGTGAACACTCCATAATAAGTGTAAGACTTTAATGCCATGTGTTTGAATGTACCCCGTCTATAACTTGGCAATATATCAGGTAGTATAGGTTTGGAGGAACCAAATAGAAAGGTGAAGCTCTACCTATGCAATGAGAGACCTGATCAAGCAAGAAGTCGAGGTAATGTTAGAAGCTGAAATCATCGAGCCTTTGAATTCAGTCTACCATTCACTAGTGGTAATTGTGAAGAAGAGAGATGGCTCAAACCCTTTTGCATAATTTACAGAAGCTGAACTTCGTGACGAAGTTCGACTCTGATCCCATGGACAACCCAGAGGCTATCATGGCGAAACTGGACTGGGCCAAGTTCTTTTCCAAGATCGACCTCAGTAAAAGTTAGTGGCAGATTTCTAAAGAGAAGACATCAGATAGACGCTACCAATTCAAGAGGATGCTATTTGGGATAGTCAACTCAGCAGTGATATTCAACTGCATGACGAGGAAGATTTTACACAAAACTACCAACATCGAGCATTTTGACCCACACAGCCAGATGGGAAGACTACCTGAAAAAGCTCAGAAAGCTGTTCAGGCAAATGTGAGCATCAGGTCTGACCATCTAAGTGCTAAATCTGCTATTCTGTGCTAGACTTTGTTGGAAACAAGGTAGGTGTTTGACAGATAGCAATAAAAGAGGAGAAGCTAACCCACATACAAGATTCAGAAGCTCCGACGACCAAGCAGCAAGTCTGGTCTTACCTGGGGTTAGTGGAATACTGTAGGAAGTTCATCCCAAACTACACTGAATTTTCTGTACCACTGACTGACATGACCAAGAAAGGCCAACTTAACAAGGTGAAGTGGGAACAACCACAGTAGATGACATTCCAAAAGTTTAAGAATATATTAGGAAGTTGACCAATCCTTAGAATGCCAGACTTCAACAAACTGTTCATCATTTAGACCGATGCATCAGACATTAAAATTGGAGCAAGAATATGTAGACGGACTGTTTTCCGTAATGTACATTAGTAAAAAGCTGTTCAGTAGTGTTTGTTTGTTTTTGAATTTCGCGCAAAGCTACACGAGGGCTATCTGCGCTAGCCGTCCCTAATTTAGCAGTGTAAGACTAGAGGGAAGGCAGCTAGTCATCACCACCCACCGCCAACTCTTGGGCTACTCTTTTACCAACGAATAGTGAGATTGACCGTCACATTATAACGCCCCCACGGCTGAAAGAGCGAGCATGTTTGGTGTGACAGGGATTCGAACCCGCGACCTTCCGATTGCGAGTCGAGTGCCT